CAGTCCTCTTCTCTCACACCTTCAAACTTTCTGCTAAATAATGAAAGTATAATATACAGTCAGGAGGGAAGTACAAAATAAGTCATCAGCACCTGCAGAGCAAGTCAGTCCATTTAAGAAGGGAAGGATTTTTTTTTTCCAACCAAGGGCCAAAATGTAATTTATTTGTCTTCCTGAGGCCTGCAGGGAAGCAGTTAATAATATCCTGTCATCGGAGTAAATGGGATTGGGGAAAGTGTGCTCATTGTGGAGGAAAATTAAGTGAACTGCAGATTTTAAAAGGGAAAAAAACCAAGTATTTAAAATATGAGCCTCAAGGCCACCAATTCATTCAGAATAACAGAATTGGAAGGGATCTTGGAGGTCTTCTAGTCCAACCCCCTGCTCCAGCAGGAGCCCCTGGTCTATGCTATTCCAGACAAGTGGAGTGTGTGTGTGTCATCTTGAGTTTCTTCAGTACATCACATCTTGAGTGGCAAATTTAGCCATCTGTCAAATCTTCCTCTGGTTTTGCACCAAAAATTTGGAGAGGTGTATTCAAAGAGGGAGGGATTTTACGCTATCACTGCTATCGTGTCCCCCGTCGTCCTTCTCTTCATTAAAGTAGAGACATCCCCAATTTCAGGAACCGTTCCTTACAAATTTTAGCCTCCAGTCCCCTGATCATCTTGGTTGCTCTTCTCTGTACTCTTTCTAGAGTCTCAACATCTTTTTTACATCGTGAGGTAATAAAAATATAATACAAAAAAAGAAATACCCTTTGCCTGCTGGCAAGAACAGGTGGGTTAATAATAATGATAATGATAATAATGTTGGAAGGGATCTTGGAGGTCATCTAGTCCAACCCCCTGCTCAGGCAGGTAACCCTATAGCATTTCGGACAAATGGCTGTCCAGTCTCTTCTTAAAAACTTCCAGTGTTGGAGCATTCACCGCTTCTGGAGGCAGGTTGTTTCACTGGTTAATTGTTCTCACTCTCAGGAAGTTTCTCCTTAGTTCTAGGTTGCTTCTCTCCTTTCTTAGTTTCCACCAGTTACTTCTTCTCCTGCCTTCAGGCGCTTTGGAAAATAGCTTGACACCCTTTTCTTTGTGGCAGCCCCTGAGATATTGGAAGACTGCTATCATGTCCCCCCTCGTCCTTCTCTTCATTAAACTAGACATTACCCAATTCCAGCAGCTGTTCCTTATATGCTTTAGCCTCCAGTCCCCTAATCATCTTTGTTTCTCTTCTCTGTACTCTTTCTAGAGTCTCAACATCTTTTTTACATCGTGGTGACCAAAACTGGATACCGTATTCCAAGTGTGGCCTTACCAAGGCATTGTAAAGTGGTATTAACATTTGACATGATCTTGATTCTATCCCTCTGTTAATGCAGCTTCTGCCCCTTGCATTGTAAAATATTTTCTGTCTGTTAAGTGAGATTAGATACATATGACAAACCCACAGTCAGAGTCACCTAGCAAACCTCCGGGTTGATTAAGCATTTGAGAACCCAGATATTTTTCAGGCCAGGTCCAGGCAAAGCTGGACTAAATAGGGCTGATGATGTTTATGGAGATTCTCAAATCATCCAGATTAGGGTTGCCCCAAAGGTACTTTTTCCAAAAGGCAACTGGACATTGTTGGTTTTTTTATAAGATTTCCCTTTGAAAAACGTTTTTAAAAACGTTTTGCTTCTCATCCAAGAAGCTTCTTCAGTTGTAAAGAACTGAACTGAAGAAGCTTCTTAGATAAGAAGCAAAACATTTTCAAAGGAAACCCCTCCCCCCAAGAAAGTCCAGTTGCCTTTTGGAAAAAGCATCCCATGGCTGCTGATATTCCTCTTTGGAGTTATCCATAAGCAGATGACTTCAGGGCTAAGAGATTAGATCAGTGGTTCTCAACCTGTGGGTCGGGACCCCATTTGGGGTCGAACGACCATTTCACGGGGATTCGCCAAACAATGCAGTCCGCCATTTTTTTCCCCTTTTCCTTAGCTGTGCTACTCCCTTTTATTCTATTGGCTTTTGAAAGCCAATAGAATAGACTCTCTTGAATAGAGTCTAATTCTATTGGCTTTCAAAAGCCAATAGGAATTGTCCAGGCTGTCTCTGCCCTGCTGAGCCCGCCAAAAGTCCCATTCTGCAAACGGTGCTGCACCAGTTGAATAGTCCTCGACTTAAGACCGGTTGAGTAGTCCTCGACTTATGACCGGTTGGGGGGGGGGGTTCGCGGCATTAAAAAGGTTGAGAACCACTGGATTAGATCCTTTCCTCTGTATTGGTAATGACTGTATAATGCAGGAGTCTTCAGACTTGGCCCTTTTATGAACTGTGGACTTCAGCTACCAGAATTCCTCAGCCTGGCTGAGGAATTCTGGGAGTTGAAGTCCACAAGTCTTAAAGTTGCCAAGTTAAGACCTCTGCTCTGGAGGATGAATTCAGAGGGTAGAGTGTGCAGTGCTGGCCATATGGTTTTGGAGGTAGGCACTTGATATTCAGACAGGAGAAAGCATGTTGATGTTCCAGCCGCAAAACTGCTACAAACTACAAGTAGTCTTCCTCACGATCACAACCGAAACCAGAATTTCTGTTGCTAATCAAGGAGGTTATTAAGCCAGGCGCATCTTATTTGCCATTGGTTTTACTGTGGGCACACTGGCGCACATTAAACGTGAAGTTCTGTCGCCTGCTCTCAAAAAAAAATCAAATACGGCAATTTAAGATGTAGATGGATAAAATATGATAAGATTATATTTCACTATCACCCCTACAATATACCCCAATCAGTCTCACATACGCCGATCTCAGCCGAACCATTTTGCTTAGGTACTATGCTGTGTTAAATGTAATTTTCAAATTCTGGGCATACATAGAAGTAAGTTATTTCGATATGGGGGTCCCAGTGGGTCATTAGGCCAAGGTACCTGTCTCTCACCCCCTTATACAGGCAGCATTGAAATAGGACAGTGATGGCGAACCTTTTAGAGACCAAGTGCCCAAACTGTAATCCAAAACCCATTTATTTATCACAAAGTGCCAGGGCTGCATCAGCATTGTGGTGCCCTCGGGGGGGGCGGGCGGGGTATGTGTGGCCCACTGGGTGGGCATGGCTGCAGTGGTCACAGCAGACTGGGTGAGCGTGGCCGGGGCCAGGGCAGTGGGGGCCAGTCCCTTGCCATCTCTGGGGCATCCCCGGGGGACCAATGCCGCTTGTTCGCTCACTTCCTGCCCTGTCGCTTCCAAACGTCATGTGCTCATTCCTCTGGTGGGGCAATGGCATGCGTGCCCACAGAGAGAGCTCTGAGTGCCACCTCTGGCACGCGTGCCATAGGTTCGCCACCACTGAAATAGGATGTGAGCCTCTGCCGCTCCGCAGATGCAGCGACGTGCATTATAGGGTATAAGAGTGGAACCTCCCATATCTGACCATTGTGTCAAGCTGTTCACATCTTGCTCGCGTGTATATTTCCCTAAGATGTTTTGGCCGTTGTAACTTCAAATAGCTACCTGCTTAAAAAGTGTGTTTGTATTTGCTCAGCCATTTCAAGTTATGCACCTTACTAAGGATGCTATATAGTAATATAGTAATAGTAATAGTAGTAAAGTTGGAAGGGACCTTGGAGGTCATCTAGTCCAACCCCCTGCTCAGGCAGGAAACCCTACACCATTTCGGACAAATGGCTGTCCAGTCTCTTCTTAAAAACTTCCAGTGTTGGAGCATTTACTGCTTCTGGAGGCAGGCTGTTCCACTGATTAATTGTTCTCACTGTCAGGAAGTTTCTCCTTAGTTCTAGGTTGCTTCTCTCCTTGATTAGTTTCCACCCGTTGCTTCTTGTCCTGCCTTCAGGTGCTTTGGAAAATAGCTTGATTCCCTCTTCTTTATGGCAGCCCCTGAGATATTGGAATACTGCTATCATGTCCCCCCTTGTCCTTCTCTTCCTTAAACTAGACATACCCAATTCTAGCAACCGTTCCTTATATGTTTTAACCTCCAGTCCCCTAATCATCTTTGTTGCTCTTCTCTGTACATACATACATACATACATACTTACACCCATGCGGATATATGGATACATTCGTGCATACATACATACATACATATATATTAAACACTGTCCATTTTGAATACATAGCAGAAAGAGTTCACAAGGTTTATGCTATATGGAACAAAACTAATTACTGCAGTTGTTAAATAAATAACCTGGTCATTAGGAGAATCCAGCTTATCCCATTGACTTTGTTGCAGCTGCAGCTTTGATGCTGCAGCTCTGATAGATACATGCCAGTTGCCAAGCACCTGAATTTTGATCACGTGACCCTGGGGGTGCTGCAGTGGTTGTAAGTGTGAAAAACAGTCATAACTCACTTTTTGTAACTTCGTATGGTCACTAAATGAACACTTGTAAATTGAGGACCACCTGTATGATTATTTGAAGGATCATCATTATGATGGTGTTTGTATAAACGCAATTGGCTGCAGTCCTTTGCATTAGCAATCCTGCGGCATTAATTCTGGTGGAATTGCCTGGAAAGAGACCCCGGCTTTCCACGTCCTGGGAGGCAAAGCCTGGCCCTGAGGATGCTGAAACAGTCATCAAATGCAAGGACCAATCATTTTTTTCATTTCTATTTTGATTTTGAATGGTCACTAAATGAACGGCTGCAAGTCGAGGAATACCCGTATATGTTTCTCTGGAGTACAGTTTTGTACAGATCTCGCTGCAGTTTTGATCACGTGACCATGGGGATGTTGCAACATTCGTTAAGTGCAAGGACCGGTCATAAGTCACTTTTTTCAACGCTTATTCTACAGAGAAACACATACAGGGTAGTCCTCCACTTACAACCATTTGTTTAGTAACTTTGAACAGTCACTAAACGGTTGTAAGTTGGGGACTTACCTGTATGTGTTTCTCTGTACAATGAGCAGTTCATTCCTAGAGCAAGAACTTTACTGTATTTTGAGACTAGGCTTGTCCCCTCGCCAATACATTTTCCTCTTTTTTTTTTTCCTTCCAGGGAAATACAACTCCTACAGCGGTTGCGGCACAAAAACGTGATCCAGCTAGTTGACGTGTTGTACAATGAAGAGAAGCAAAAAATATATCCTTTCTTTGGGCTCTTCTGCTGAAATCTCCCTCTGAAGAGCTGGATTCACTGGTTTTTCCACCTTCCGTATTTCCACGTGTCCCTACCTGGTTTCTAATGATGCTCCATCTTTGTACAGTTAGGTGCCTTCCACACCGACAGGAGTTCATCACCCAGCATTGTCTATGAATGATGGCTTCTTAAGGGCATGGATTCTCCAGCAGGATGACTGTAGAGTCCAAATGGATGGGTTCTATGACGGCCTTCCTGCCTGGCAGACTGGGTAAAAACTTCGGCCACACCCCTTCCTTTGGGCGTGACCCCAGTTTTGACTCAGTCTCGAAGCCTGGTAGAAGTGCGAGAAGCAGCTCTCAGAACAAAACTAACTTAACTTAAAAAAAAAAAAAAAAAGGGAATCCCCTCTTCCTCCAGTTGAACGAAAATTTGTCTGGCAGCGGATAGGACTCGAGAGAGGCAGCCGGGATCGGCGGATTCGTGAGTGGGGCGTCAGGGACTAACGGGAGGCTTGGAGCCGGACCGGATCGCTCGCCCGCCGATAACCGGCCCACCGAGCAGCTGTTGGGGCGGGGGTTTCACTACCGGATTGCTCGCCGCTCTCCGGGGCCGCCAAACAGCTGAGCGGTTCGGGCGATAGAACGAGGCGCCGCTCAGCGCCAAACAGCTGAGCCGCGCGGAAAGCGTGATTGGGGCCGATAGAACGAGGCGCCGCTCAGCGCGAAACAGCTGAGCCGCGCGGAAAGCGGCTAAACCGCGGCGCCGCTCGGCATAGACCAGCGGAGCGGCGCGAGAGGCAGAACCAGCGCTAGAAGTGCCTTCTCCTTAGAGGAGAGGCGCGGTCCCTCAGAGTCAAAGATCCGCCATTGTTTGAACCTCGTGGATTCCCGGGCTAACATTAGGAGGCGTGGTTTCTTCCCCATTCGCCATTTTGAGCGAACGGACCTTCCCGCCGTTTTCCCTTGGGGGCGGGGCCATCCGGACTCCATTCCCTTGCAGACAAAGGGGCAGCCCTTAAGCTAAAATCCGGGATTATCGCAAGAAACTGAGACAGGAGGAAGGAAGAGGGAAAAGGAAGAGAACCTTTCTGATCGTGGTCTGCTGCCACAGCCACAGACAGGGGGAGAGAGAGGTATAAACTGCACTTTCTCTGGACTAAGTGAGGAGGTGAGGAGGAGTATTTTTCTCTGACTGTTCCTATAGTGACCTTTAGTCACTGCCTTGCAGGATCTTCTGTCCAAAGACTCCTGTCTGTCCGGCCATTGTTTGTATAGGCAGAGGAGGGCTCAGCCCCAAACATCTGCATCTGGTCTGCGTATCCTGTCCCCCACTCCAGGCACTACCTACTCGGGGTGTCTGGCACAATGGCAGACAATGTCTCGTATTCAGTCACACAGGTCCCTCAATTGTCCCCCCCACAGCAACAACAAAAACGCAGATCTTCTGAATCTGAGGTGGGGGGGAAGAAGAAAGCTAAAACAAAACACCTTTCTCAGAAGGGACAGTCTAAAACGGCTGAGCGAGAGGCTTTGAGGAGACATTTGGCTTTAGAAAGACAAATTAGCAGGGCACAGAGAACCAATGCCAATGGGACAAATTCGGTTTCCCCTGTCCCAGCGGTGGCACCCAGCACAGACCCTACTGCCGAGGAAGTGCTTAAGACTTGGTCTCCTCCTGGGGAAACTGAACAGTTAGACTCCTCCAACCCCTCCTCACCAGCTTCTTCACCCGACCGCACCCCAGCGCCTCACTCTAACGACAAAGCGCAGGAGGGCATTTGGTCGGCACAATTCCATGCATTCATGCAGGATGCATTCTCCCAGTTCATGGCTTCTAAGGGACAAGTGGCCTTTCACACACCCCGTAAGGGTCGGGCTAGGCCACCCCCTACCAGCACCTCTGAAACTTCCTCTCAACTGGGAGAGGGTGACTCAGTGGACCTCGACATGTCAGACATGCCCCTCTCGGAGGACGAGGAGACGGCACCTGAGCAGGCAACGAGCTCTGGACTCTTTAACCCAGCGCTCCTAAAATCACTCCTGGTAAAGGCTGTTTCCACAGTCAACCTAACATCAGTACAGGATGAGAAGCCCTCAACAAGCAAGGAGGCCAATCCTCTGTTTGCCAAAAAGGTTCCACAAGATAAGTACATCCCATGTGCGGAGGTCTTCATGACCACGCTGGAGGAACAATGGTCCTCACTTGCAAGCCCACCGGCACCAAACAGCGCGGAAAGAAAGCTTTTCAACCTATCTCCCTCCTTCTCTAACATGTTAGAGGTTCCCACTGTCGATAACCCATTAATCTCATTATTTTCTACCTCCGCGATTCCAGGAGACATGGCGGAGGTCTTGAGGCCTGAGGAGAAGAAATTTGAACACTCACTCCGGCGTTCCCATATGGCTGCAGCCTGGGCGGCCAGAGCAGCCACTTCCTCATCTTTCTTCGCGAGGGCCAGCATCATGTGGCTGAGGGAACTGCAAGGCACGGTGCCTCCAGACCAGGTCAGAATACACCAAACATTGGCCAAGCTCCTCGCGGCCTCGCAATTTGTCTCAGACGCTTCACTGTACGCAACAAAGTATGCGGCTAGATCCATTGCGGCCACAGTGGCCTCACGTAGGCTACTATGGCTCAAAAATTGGAAGACAGACCTGAGGTCCAAATGGCGTCTTTCGACGTCCAAATACAGTGGAGTAGACCTATTTGGTTCCATTCTGGACCCACATGTCAGCGAAGGCAGAGACAAGAAAAAAATCCTAGTACACCCATCAAAGAAGTTAGACAGGAGAGGCAGTCAGGACTTCCGGAGACAGGGTTCCCGCCCAGGAAGCCCCTGGGAATGGAGGCAGCCCTTTCGATCAGGGCAATCCTGGGACTGGCCCAGAGGCTCACGATCCTTCTACCCCAGACAGGATCGAACCCAGGATCGCCAGAGCCCGGGAGCCAGGGGCCAGTTCCAGTCCAGACGCCCATATAGGGGAGCGGGAGGCAGATCCTTTAAACGCACCAAGTGACGCCAAACAGGATACTCCCATTGGGGGTCGGTTAGGAAATTTCATCAGGGTCTGGGAGCAGACCACGACCGACTCCTGGGTCCTGGAAACGATCAGACATGGCCTGACCTTAGACTTCTGCTCTCCCCCACCAAACCGGTTCATCAGATGTCCCATCTCCAGAAGAGCACACAAGACGAGGCTGATAACTTCGGCTATAGTCCACCTCCTGTCAATTCAGGCCATAGAGAAGGTACCAAAGGAGGAGGAGGGAAGAGGATTTTACTCTATCCTCTTCGTCATCCCAAAGACATCAGGAGGGTGGAGAGCAATCTTGGACCTGAAGGGCCTGAACTATTTCATAAAGTACAGGAGGTTCAAGATGCACTCCTTAAAGTCCATACTAGCCAGCGTCAGGGAAGACGATCTACTATCCTCAATAGATCTCACAGAGGCGTACCTACACATCCCCATCCACCCCAGCTACCGGAAATTCCTCAGATTTACCTACGCGGGGCGACATTACCAATACAGGGCATTACCCTTCGGACTGTCGTCAGCACCAAGGGTATTCACAAAGATCTTAGCTGTACTAGCGGCCCATCTCAGGTTGATTCCGGTTCGCGTCCAGTTTTATCTGGACGACATCTTGATTCAGTCCAGATCTCGGGAACAAGCAAGGACAGATCTCAAGACCACAATCCGAACCCTACAGGGGCACGGATTTTCGGTCAATCTAAACAAGAGCCACCTCATTCCCTCAAGGAGACTGCAACACCTGGGCGCGGTGATAGACACGTCACAGTGCAGGGTATTCCTTTCCCAGGAGCGACTGATCAGCATATCCAAGCTAATCCACCAAATTCAAAAGATCAGGAGAGTGCCCTTGCTACAACTCTCGAAGCTCCTGGGAAAGATGATATCTTGCATGGGCATCATCCCATGGGCAAGGCTCCACTCGAGGGAGTTGCAGTGGTTCCTCCTACCCTACCAGAGGAGGAACCTCAGCACCTCCAACAGGAGTGTGCTGGTACCAGCACAGGTGATGAAATCACTAAAATGGTGGCTATCCCCCATGACACTCAAGGGGAGCATATTCAGGGAACCGAACAGGGTCACGCTCACGACAGATGCGAGCCTGTTCGGATGGGGAGCCCATCTGGGGACCCAGATAGCACAGGGCCAGTGGGGTCAAAAGGACCTGTCACACAGCATCAACTGGCTAGAGCTCCGGGCCATACACCTGGCCCTCCGTCATTTCTCACACCTAGTAACGAGGAGACACGTCCTCGTGCTTACAGACAATGTAGCAGCCAAGGCACATGTAAACAAGGAGGGAGGAACGAGATCAGTGGAACTAATGAAAGAAGCATTGGTTCTGGCTCGGTGGGCAGAAGCCAATGTGAGTTCCATCAGAGCGGAACACATCTCAGGGGAAACAAACACCCAGGCGGACTCCCTGAGCAGAGCCAAGGTGGACCAGTCGGAATGGCGTCTGGACCCGGCTCTCTTCGAGGAGATCTCCCGGAGGTTCGGACAACCGCACCTAGATCTATTTGCCAACCACAAGAATACACAACTCCCCAGGTTCTTCTCCAGATTCCCGTCCCCGGGATCGGAGGGAACGGATGCTCTCAGGTGCCGGTGGCCGGCGCAACTCCTGTACGCCTTCCCACCGCTGCCACTAATACCGGCAACCATACGCAAGATGATCCTGGAGGGCGCAGAAATGGTCTGCATTGCCCCTCACTGGCCACGGCGCCCGTGGTTTGCCGACCTCGTGGACCTTTCGATATCACCTCCGTGGAGGATTCCCCCGGACAGGGTAAAACTCAGTCAGGGCAAGCTTGTACACCCAGATCCCCAGTGGCTACAACTAGCCGCTTGGCATTTGAGCGGCAAAGCTTAACTAAACAATCTTATTCTGCAGGGGTGATATCGATCATACAGGCATCACGAAGGGCGTCCACCAATAGGATTTACGACGCTACATGGAAGGGATTC